CCGAAATTTCAAGAAAAATCTGTAGACAAGTATTTTCCCCAATTCGAGAAAGTCGCAGAAAATCTTAAATGGCCACAACACGTTTGGTCAACAATGTTACAAAGTGTACTGGTTGGCAAAGCAGCTGAGGTATACTCTGCCCTAGGGGTAGCTGAAAGTTCAGACTATGAGAAGGTCAAAGCAGCAATATTAAACGCATATGAATTAGTACCTGAAGCGTATAGACAAAAGTTCAGAAAGTATAGAAAGTTTGATAATCAAACATTTGTTGAATTTTCACGAGAGAAAGAAGATTTATTCGATCATTGGTTTAGATCTAAGAATCTTGATAAAACTTTTGCTAATTTGCGCCAAGTCATCCTGGTAGAAGAGTTTAAGGAATGTGTTTCTCAAGATTTGAAAACACATTTAGAAGATAAGAATGTGAAAACTCTTGAAGAGGCAGCAGTCATATCTGATACTTATGCTCTGTCTCATAAAAAGAATTTTGTTTCAAGATCTCAGACTAGCTGTAATTCTACCAATTCAGACACATATAAAAAGAGTGGTTCAGGGTCTCAGTCTTTCACAAGTTCCCAGTCTCCATCCCAAGGTGGTTCTAAGTCCGGTCCAGGACGTTTTGAAGGATCTTCTGGAATAGGGTCGCTTCCTACTTGTAGTTATTGTAAGAAAAAAGGTCATCTGATCAGTGAATACTTTAAACTTAAGAGAAAAAATGACTTTGATAAAACTCAACCACATGCTTGTGCGGCAGTTAGAGGAGATAGAGAAGCCTTAGTTTCGATTTGTTCTGACACTCCTGATGTCCAGGGTTCACAGTCCAGTTCTATTGATTCTATGGAGGATTATAAGCCCTTTATGTCTCAGGGATTTGTTTCACTCGGTGACTCTAGCGAAATAAAACCTGTCCAGATTTTGAGAGATACTGGTGCTGCACAGACGTTATTGTTAGAGGGCGTGCTTCCTTTGTCTGAGCAGACTTCTACTGGTGGGTCAGTTTTATTACAGGGTGTGGAGCTAGGCGTCATTGATGTTCCCCTGCATAGAATTAGTTTGAAGTCAGATTTAGTTACTGGACCTGTTATCGTAGGTGTTCGACCTACTCTTCCTGTTCCAGGCATTTCTTTGTTGCTAGGCAACGATTTAGCTGGTGGAAAAGTTGTACCAGATCCTATAGTTTGTGAGAAAATCACTCCAGATGTCATGTGCGATGATGAAGATGATGACATTTATCCAGCCTGTGCTGTTACTAGAGCGATGGCCAGAAGACGAGAAATGGAGGCAGACCATACTCAAGCCTTTGACGAGACGAATTCCTCTGTTGATATTGATTTGAATGACACTTTCTTATCTGACCTTGATGGCACTCAAACAAGCATGGAACCACACAATATCAAGAAGCAAGAGAAGAAAGAACTTTTACCAAAATTTGGTGGTGAGGATGATGAGTTGCATCCACTAGTTAGCCAAGGCAAGGACATCCTCAGCCGAGAACGTTTACTCTCTGAACAACATAAAGACCCAGATATCATTCAACTTAGCAAGAGGGCACTTCCACCAGAAGAGGCTACTAAAGTTGGAGAATGCTTCTATATGAAAGATGGCATCCTTATGCGAAAATGGCGACCACCTGACGCTTCTCCAGATGAAGTGTGGCGTGTTGTTCACCAGATAGTGATCCCAGCTGCTTATCGTCGAGATGTCATGAGTTTAGCTCATGATACACCTATGGCTGGTCATTTAGGTATCAATAAGACTTATAACAGGATTTTGAGTCATTTTTATTGGCCTAAGCTAAGAAAGGATGTTTCGAAGTTTTGCAAGTCATGCCATGTCTGTCAGATGGTAGGTAAACCAAATCAGAAGATACCATCTGCTCCTCTCCAACCCATTCCAGCTTTTGAAGAACCGTTTAGTCGAGTGTTGGTGGATTGTGTAGGACCTTTGCCTAGGACTAGATCTGGAAACCAGTATTTACTTACCATTATGTGTACATCCACTCGATTTCCTGAAGCCATACCTCTTAGGAATATAAAGGCAAAGAGCATAGTTAAGGCCCTAACCAAGTTTTTCAGTTTTGTAGGAGCACCCAAGGCAATTCAGTCGGATCAAGGCTCAAATTTTATGTCGGGGTTGTTCCAGCAAGTCATGCATGAGTTGGGTATAAGGCAATATAGATCAACTGCTTATCATCCTGAGTCCCAGGGAGCGCTAGAACGTTTTCATCAAACCCTAAAAACAATGCTGAAGACCTATTGTTACCAGTATGAGAAAGACTGGGATGAAGGGGTTCATCTTGTGCTATTTGCTGCACGAGAAGCAGTCCAGGAGTCTCTTGGATTCAGTCCTTTTGAATTGGTGTTCGGTCATACAGTTAGAGGTCCTTGGAAATTGTTAAAGGAAAAGTGGCTGACTGAGACTAGTGATCTTAATCTTTTAGATTATGTGTCTGATTTCAAAGAAAAACTTTACAATGCTTGTAAATTAGCACAAGAAAATTTGAAGAGTTCTCAGATGAAAATGAAAATGTGGTATGACAAAGATGCCAGAAATAGGGTGTTTAAGCCAGGTGATAAGGTTCTTGTATTTTTACCTATTCCTGGTCATCCTTTACAGGCCAGATTTTATGGCCCTTATGAAATTGAAAGCAAGATCAGTGATGTAAACTATGTAGTTAAGACACCAGGTCGACGTAAAGAGAAACGGGTTTGTCACATTAACATGTTAAAAGAGTATTTTGAAAGGTGTGACCGAAATTCTGTAAAACCAGTTTCAACTTTAGCCAATGCTAAGACTGTTCAAAATTGTATTGAAAGTGATACGAGTGTAGAAATGAATGAGAAAGATTGTAATCAGAGTGTCCGTTTGAAAAACTCAGAAGTTTTGGCTAATTTGGATGCTAAACTTGGACATTTGAACATTCACCAAAAAGAACAAGTTAAAAACTTGACGAGTGAGTATCATCAAATCTTTTCGGATGTTCCAAAGAAAACTAATGCAACTTATCATGATGTCATAGTGGGTGACGCTCTGCCTATCAAACAACATCCGTACCGTCTTAATCCAATAAAATTGCAGTACCTAAGAAGGGAAGTGCAGTACATGTTGGACAATGACATTGTTGAACCTAGTAAAAGTGATTGGAGCTCACCCTGTATTCTTGTACCAAAACAGGACGGTTCGTACCGATTATGTACAGACTTTAGAAAGGTGAATTCTGTTACCAAAACCGATTCATATCCAATACCTAGAATCGATGACTGTATTGACAACATTGGAAACGCGAAATTTGTCAGTAAATTTGACCTGTTGAAAGGCTACTGGCAAGTACCGTTAACAGAAAGAGCAAAAGAAATATCTGCTTTTGCTACACCAGATGGACTTTACCAGTATAAAGTAATGCCTTTTGGCATGAAAAACGCACCGGCTACATTCCAAAGGATGATTCACTCCCTTCTTCAAAACCTCGAGGGTTGCGAGGCCTACATTGATGATGTCATCATATACAGCAACACATGGGACGAACATATCCGAATCATGCGTGCTTTATTTGACATTTTAGCTAAAGCAAACTTAACTGTGAACCTTGAGAAGAGCGAATTTTGTCATGCTTATGTAGAGTATTTAGGTCATAAAGTAGGTCAAGGTTATGTTACACCAATTATGGCTAAAGTGGAAGCTATTGCAAAGTTCCCGATTCCTACAAACAAGAAAGAGTTAATGAGGTTTTTGGGCATGGCTGGGTTTTACAGAAAATTTTGTCCAAAATTTTCCTCAGTAGTTAGTCAGCTTACAAATCTTTTGCAGAAGAGGGTTAACTTTGAATGGACAAAAGACTGTGAAAAATCCTTTCATAAAATCAAATCTGTCCTTATGAGCAACCCAGTTCTGTCAACTCCAGATTTTTCTAAGCAATTTAAGCTTACTGTTGACGCTAGTGATGTTGGAATCGGGGCAGCTTTGTTTCAATAACATAGTGATAAGGTAGATAGAGTTGTTTCTTATTTTTCAAAGAAACTTACAAAATGTCAACAAAAGTATTCCACCATTGAAAAGGAATGCCTTGCTTTGTTGTTAGCCTTACAGCATTTTGATGTTTATCTGAATGTTACTTTGCATCCAATTCTTGTATATACGGATCACAACCCCCTGACATTTTTGCATAAATTGTCAAACAAGAATCAAAGACTGACTAGATGGAGTTTGTTGTTACAAGAATACAACATAACAATTAAGCATATCAAAGGCAAAGACAATGTTATTGCAGATGCCTTGTCCAGAGTATCGTGAACATATATGATTTTGTATTAATGTACATATATTTCATTTTAACAATATAAGTTTTCATTGACATTCATACTTTTTAAGGGGGGAGGTGTTGTGAGGTGTGTTGTATTTGTATTATTTCATCATGTATATTATTAGTAACATTAAGTTTCTTGAACATTCCAGAGTGGTCAACATGTTCGGTCATTTTTCTAGAACATTCTTGAACTTTGTGCATGTCCAGAACTTTCCAGTAATATCATGTATTTACAATTTCTAGAATATTCTAGATTTATATTACTGTATAAATACCCTGTCAATTCGATGCAGAGATAGAATTGTCGTATAAGCATCATTGAGGTATTACTGGGATATAATTTCACTGGGACATTGTGTGCAGCAACGGACACTCTGATGTATGTATTTTTAGATTTTTGCTAAGTTTGTACTTAATGATTTGTATATTACTGTAAATAAATTATTGTTAAGTTTAAACTGTGTGATTGATCTTTGCTGGCATTTAGGGTTATTCTGACCCATAACACAGAGAAAACGTAATGAAGATTTAGAACTCAGGATTCTACAGAACCAAAAAGAATTCGAGCAAATGAAGGATCGGTATAGTGGAACAATAAAAACTTTGGAAACTCGTATATACGTAAACTTGAGGATATTACAAAGACTCAAGTTCGTGATCTTACGACACGGAGAAAAAATACAGTAGGAGAAAAGAGGTTTGTTACCCATTTAAAACGCCGAATTACAAATGTGGAAAAAGTCCATGTACCACAGTTTGAAAATCCATGTGACCCCGAAAATAGTTCCCATGTAAATGTTGCCAGTGGAAAAGCATTATTGATGGATAAAATCAACCCTGAGAGAATTCAGAGTAAGAGAAATCTTAGAGGTGAGTGGAAAAAATAATTCAATAAAATTTTCTTCACTTGATATGATGATTGCATTGTCAAGTGATATGTCTGAACTTATCGGTAAAATTAAATTTATTTTTAATTTTAAATATATCTGTTCACTTTGTTTTATAGAGCGATCTGTCACTCAAAGATCAAATGAAACTGGTATTATTGCATTCTATGCATATATGTCTTCGATGGTTGGGAACCCTAGTACACGCCTAGTATTGGTCTTTGATGTAGTTCGAACCAACATTGGAAATGCATACCATGCTTCAACTGGGGTCTTTATTGTTCCTGAATCTGGAGTCTATGTGTTTACCTGGACATTTCGATCAGGGAATGGTGATGGCCACTCAGTTCAACTAATGATAAATACAGTAGAATATGGTTCTGTTTATCATCGCACACTGAGAGCTGTAGAAGCAGAAGAAACAGGAATAGTTGTTGCGCAGGTAACTACCGGAGACGATGTTTATGTGAGGATAAAATCCATATATCGTCTAGGGATAGCACACTATATCCAAAGCGATTCCGATGGGAGAACATCTTTTGCAGGATGGAAGCTGTAAAGTAGATGTATGTCTGCATCAGTTAATGAAGAATACCATTCATTAATTTTTGAATTTATAAACTGCTCTCATTTTTTTAATTGCAAAGACAATTTACACACAAAAATGGAAATTTGTAGATGTTACCTGCACTGAAAATGCAGAATTTTGTAAAACCGAAGTACATATTAATTATCCTGCTCTTGTACTTTTACATTTTAAGTGTTGAAATATTTTTCATTGACAAGAACACCATTAATACTTATTGATGGATGAGCTCAAGAAACCTAAGCAAGCTTAAAGTGGCTTACTTTTTAAGAAAGCTGTAATAATGTAGCCTTTTCTATTTTTCCTCTCCAGGAAATGTCAGATTAAAAAAAATCGGAGAATGCTACATTATTGCAGCTACTTTTTAAGGTAGTTCAATCCTTATGTTCTGAAAATCAGCAGTTAAGTGATTGAAGTCACCCGAGTAGTGCAGTGGTTAGACCGTTTCTATAGAGTCGTGGAGTAAGGAAATAATCCTTACGTCGCGGGTTCGAATCTGTATGTGGGACGTGGAGACCAGTCCTTTGGATGAGATCATATAAACCGTGTTCCGTGTCCAGTACGTGCAGGCACAAAAAAGATCCCTTACCGCTAAATGGCCCTATGTGCCGACCATTGATCAAATTTTGCACCTTTCCACAAGCTAGTGATGGCGTTTCCATATGGGTGCAACCTTCTCTAGAAAACAAATATAAAAATATGGTAAAGTACTTTTAGGGTGAATTTAATACCGGTAGTTCGCCTTTAAAGAGGAATGTTAGATTTTAAAATGAAAAATAAATATTGACTTTATTACCGAAGGGTTTGGTAAAGTGTTTCCAGTACTTCCAGAAAAAAATAAAAGAAAAAAATGACGGGAAAAACTCAGCCATCTGTTCTTCGTATACCTGAAAAAAGTATTATGCTTAATACAATGTAATTCTGAAACGGAATAAAATGCATTATAAATATTGTACTTAATTTTTTCAACATGAATTGAGATAAGAACATTTGACCGGCTGTGCCAATTTTCAATGACATTTATACTTGTAACATATGATGAATGTACAACTGAGATAACACGTGGATAAGTGTTGATAATTTCGCAACATATTCAGAACTTTATTTTGCGTTGGTTTGTACGACGGTTTCAAAGACTGAAAACAAAACAGGCATGAAGGCATTGCTAACATTTTTTCTCCTAAGTGCTCTTTTACCAGAAAGGACTTGTATAGAAAATAGCAACGGGGAAGAACATATTTTAGAAAATATGAATGTTCCTCCAAACAAGCTGAAAGATGAGAAGGAGGACATAATGCACATCCTAAAACAACAAAATAAAGATCTAGAACTCGAACAAACCGAAGACAAAGAAGATTTTGAGAGGATTAAAAGCGAACTTTATAAAGCCATAAGCATTCTGGACAATCGCTTACGTACATTTGAGGGTGTAATAATGGATCAAAATCGTGAAATTTATAAACTAAAACAAGAAAAGGAGGAAGACAGGAATTATATCAATCGATTAGAAAAGCGCCTTACTCAGTTGGAATATAAGTTTGAAAAAAGTGATGAAAAAAGGAATTCTTCCTGTGAGAAGAAGTCTATAGAAGACATTAGATCTACTAACTTAAAGAACGTCGAGAGAATCCAGAGTAAGAAAACGTTTCTTTATAAATGCAATAAATAAATATAAAGAGTATTTATCACTTAATGCACAAGAACGTATTATAACAAGTATTGCCTAATATTAGTAATTGATTTTCCTTCTACAGAAAGACTTCTCACCCTTCCAACAACTTCTCATGGTTCTATTGCATTTTATGCATACATGTCTGCCTGGATACCGTCACCAAATCAACACCAGGTGCTGGTCTTTGATGATGTCAAAACTAATATTGGAAACGCTTATCATCCATCAACTGGGCTTTTTATAGTTCCTGAATCAGGCGTGTACGTCTTTACATGGATGTTTCGAACTGGTGCAGCCCATGACCATTCAATTCAGCTACTGATAAACAAAGACGTATTCGGTTCTTTGTATCTTCAGTCAGTTAATGGTCTAGAAGCACAGGAGACAGGTATCGTTGTTGCCCAAGTTAACGCTGGAGACGACGTTTACGTGAGAACACATGCTACGCTAACCTTAGGTACTTCGGACTACATCCAGAGCAACTCTTACGGAAGAACGTCTTTTGCCGGCTGGAAACTATTTTAAACATAAAATGAATATTTACTTTATTTTTGTCTTTAAAGTCACTTTAATCTCATTTTCTGTCTTGTTTATCTCTAATATATATGCCAAACGCCAAACAAAACAAAAAGAGAAAACGTTTGAAATAAGCTGATAGTAGTTTATACTGGGTATAAGGTGCCCCTGCTTCTTTCCTGTACTGTATATTCCGTTATGTAGTTTCCCCCTGAAGTTTAAACCTACAGTAGTACTAGTATGTTGTTTCTCTGTCATTTAGTTCTTTGCTTCTTTTCTGTAGTTAAAACCATGTACCACAGAGTCTGACGCATTTGTTTCATACTTGGATATTTTACTTGAAAAGACGTTAATGGTAATCTAACAACCAAGCTCTATGATAAATTTAATGACTTTAAATTTTCTATCGTCAACTTCCCTTACTTATGCAGCAATGTACCTTCAACACCTGCATACAGCGTTTATATATCTCAGTTGATTCGATACACAAGAGCATGCTCTAAGTATGAACAATTTCTAAAACGAGGTAAATTATTGACAAGCAAGTTGATGAAACAAGAATATCAACAGTCTCGTTTAAAGTCATCATTTGGTAAGTTCTATGGTCGATACAATGATCTTGTCAGCAAATATAATTTATTGAGTCAAATGCTGACTGACGTTTTTCATTCCAATCGTTAGTCCATTATTTATACACCGAATTGACGATTGATTTTTCCGTTATTTCCTGATCATGACAAGGAGCGCACGGCGCATGTGACCGGTCAGCAGGGGATGCTCACTCCTCCATGGCACCTGATCCCACCTCTGATGATTCGGAGGTCCGTGTTTGCTCTGCTCCTATTTTGTATTGTTTTATGGACTTTGATATTGAATACTGTTCCTTATCTCCGTATTCTTCATGTAGTTTCTCTGCTTCTTGCTGTATACCTCGTATTTAGTTTCCATGCTTCTTTCCTGCTGTTAATACAGAGTATGTAGTTTTCCTGCTTTTTTCCTGCAGTTAATACCGTGTATGTAGTTTTCCCTGCTTCTTTCCTGTTGTTAATACGGTGTATGTAGTTTTCCAGCTTCTTTCCTGTAGTTGATACTGCGTATTTAGTTTCCCCATTTCTTTCCTGTAGCTAATACCGTGTATTATATTTTTCCTTGCTTCTTTCCTGTATAGTTTATTCCGTTATGTAGTTTTCTTTGCTTCTTTCCAGTAGCATATACCTGGTACGTAATTTCTCTGCTTTTTTCCCTTTTTATTGCAAAAAGGGCAGTGCTCTTGATATTGATCCTTTTACGGCGATATGTGTTTTTCTGACGTCAGTGACGGATACATTTGGTAGCCAAGTGTACATGGTCCGCATGCAGGATCATCCTTACGCCGTGGATTCGAATTCTACCGCAAGTCATGGACACTGGTCCTTCAGAAAAGACCGTATAAACCGAGGTTTCGTGTGGCGTGTGCTTGCATGCGAAAACATTCTTACTTTTCGGCCGTAAGAGACGAGTGGAGGCCTTTATTTGCATCTCTCCAAAACCCGAACTCTTTATCCATTATCACATTCGATAATGCTTGTCATCTAGATGCTTATGTAAGAGGATTTTAAAGATTTTTTAAATTGTTCTTCATATATGGTCATCATATCATGACCAAATGACCCAAATCCAGGGGCATGGAAGTTGAAAAAGAACTAGCTGCTCAATATCACCCTACTATTTGCCTGCTGGACGTCCACGGGTTAAAAAGCGTGTTGTTTACAAGTATTAATATTTAACTAACTGGCACTCATTATTCGAACCAAATCAAGACAACCGCAATTGTTGCTTGATGCATGTATTTGAAATATCGAGGGTAAAATACTTAAAGAATAAGAAATTGGGACTGCGAAATCGCTTTGAGATACAACACTTATTCATGGCGTATTTCGATATAGTGGATGACATAAGCTCTTCTGGTTACATGTCAAACAGAACTACAGTATCATTGTCCTTTATGTATATAGATGTGCTCATGTAAATAATACATACATGTAATAATTAAATTATTTTATCAAAAGCAAAATAATTTTATTACAGCAACTTTATTACGAAGTACATTATCAATTTATGAGCACCTCCTGGTAGTGTTAAAAAATCGTAAAATACTGATAACTGAATCTAGTAATAAGCGTAGAGTGTCCAGAATAAGCATTATTTAGTTGTTTTATTTCACAAAAATTGGAATTTTGTTCCGATAAAATTTCATATGCTTAGAGTTAATTAATCCCTTGCCGAACATCGGAGCAAAAGGGATATCAGTGCCCTTTACATACAAAGCACACATTTTAAAAGGGCAGGGTGATTCCCGCCAAGCGTAACGGTATCCCATGATGTATTTGTTGGAGCATGTGCCTTTATAGGAGACAGTTATTTTGTGAGGCTCCTCCTTAATGATGGGGGTTTCCATCCACACTGAATCTGTTCCGTCACATTTTAACTGGTTATTGGTAGAGCAACAAAGCTAAAAAAAGATGGTAAATTTTGTACCTTGCGAAACAAAGCTTAGATAAAAATTTACCGGCCATTGCTTTGAACCTTTTCTATCAGAAATATAATGCAAATTTAAAGTAAACTCTCGTTTTACTTTTATTAAATATATTTCTTGAAAGCCTGATTATTTTGTAACAAGAATATTGTCTCATTAAGATATTAAGTAAATAACAAATATGTCAGAAAAATTTAAATTATCGAAAGATATCTTGCACCGATGAAAAAAGAAAATACTCTACAGCAACCTTTGTAAAAGAACTTTTTCCATTTTTAAACCTACCTCAAATCCAGCCTTTGACCTGACTTCTATTTCCACTGCATTATCAAACTCGAACCCGACAGTGAAAAAATCCAATATCTGCGTAAAAGGCTGTGATGTTAGGTCCCTGGAATGGACCTACTTGCATGTTATAAGCAACAGACAGACCTGCCAAGGCAAGGCGATGTCTCTTTGTCTCGCGGATGAACACTAAACTAAAAGAATTAACAAAAAGATACAACGAAATCAATCAAAATTGTCAAAGACAAACAAATGTTTCGCAAAATAGCAACAACTTTTGTTTGAAAAGTAATTTGACCAAATTAAGAGCAAGATAAATTTTGTTCCATCTTTATTTATAGCATTGTTTGACGTCATCATTTCTTAGTTCTTTGGTGGATAAAATGACTTTGTCAGCGAAACATATGGAGATAACGAACAGTAGTCACGCCCAAAAGTCCATAATACAAAACA